AGCTGCGAAACTTCTAGTATGGAGTCACCCATAATAGCTACCTGGAGAGCAGTACTCTCGATCTGGAAAATCGAGCAGCTCCGTCAACGTCGCTACGGTCTAGGACATCATCTTCACCTCAGTCGCCAAGGCGCCAGTTGATGGTGGGGACCGGACGTACCTGGAATGGAGAGACCGATATTTTCTTCGTGGGCCCCGGACTAAAGGTGAGCGCTGGCGGTTACATTGGGCAACTCGTGAAGAATATCCTCCTCACATGTGGTCGCCCGTACCTTCTTGGAAACTTTGTACTGCTACAGCATTGAGTGCCACCACATGAAATCGAAGGGCGTTGGAGAAACTCTTGTCTACTTGTAATGGAAGGGCGTTGAGTGAAGAAGGTGGAATATCTAAGCAGGTAACTGACCTGAACCCCCTCAATTACCTGGCTCGGGACGGAGTTCAGCAGGGTCTACAGTGGCGGAGAAATCAACGATCTCGCTGAACTCACGCACCCACTGACGGTCGCGTGGCAGAATCTCTCGATGGCGCTCCTCCAGAAGGCTGTGGCGGAGTATCATGATAGTATTTGATATGCTCTTTAATATGGTGGTAGAAATGTCCGATAATAATTTAATAAAGTGTAACTTATAGCGCCTCGAAAGTCGAGTCGAGGAAGAAAAATCTTTTTTTTGGCCCCACCCCCCGTAGTGAAGTAGGAGAGAGAAGGAGTGCAACTTTCGTTTTCACGACCATGCAACCGCCAGTCCAGTAGATTCTTTCACATCTGTACTCTCCTGAATGAAGTCGGTGCACTCGAATATTTGCGTGCACATCAAAACGTGGTTTCGACCACAATAGGAGCAGTTGATGCTACAGTCTACTGTATGTCTAAGGCATTCGCAGGGACAGAGATTAGGTGTTGTAGTGCACAAAAGAATTGTCTTGGAAACAACAGCAGTTTGCGGTAGGATGCGAGTCATTGCCGTCCGCGGTGGAACAGAACACACACTTGCAATTGAGTTCGGACCAGATCGATACTGTGATTCAAAATATCGGTTTGATGATGGAGCATGTTGGTTGTAGTCTCCGTCTCCGCCTTAAGTGAAATGGTGAACAAACCGAGCTGTATGTTGACATTTTTGGTGCCATGAGCAAAGGGCTCGATAGGGATTGCGAAGTGAGTTGCATCCGCGGGAGAGGAGAGGGGAATGAATGGTGTTGCGATGGTGAACCTATGTCTATACGGTTTTGCTTTAGTTTTTATTTCTGCAATTTGCGTGATAGTTACTGGTTGTCCCGTATTTCTTTAGTGCTTGTATCATCTAATCCCGAAATTTAAGGTAGAAGCAGGTTATCCTTGGCCGCTCTGTTTGATCGCCCGCCCAAATTGCCTTTCTGAAGCGTATTCTCGATGACTGACAATGGAAGGTTAGTGAAGGGTGAACCAGGGTTGGTATGCTTGTACCATCTAATACCTAAATTCGGAGAGCTGTTTTTCATTGCCATAGAACTTTGGAGGATTGATTTTGGCGTTGATATAGACGACGCTTTCCCTAGTCATCGCGCTTGTTTATTCGACACGTTGCTTTCCTTGCGAGTGGTAGTTTCCGTTCTAACAAGGGAAGGATGGTGGATCGAAGTGGCCGTTCGGAATGTGACGAATAACGAGTGAGGTATCATTTGGCAGGGAAACGGATCCGTCCTCCATCCCTACTGCGGACCTCCCAGAACGAAGTTTTGGAGCTTTCCTAGCGGGGGCACACTTGCACTCAGTACGACTAATGAGCGTGAAACTTTCTCGGTCATGACAGCGCGGCCGATTGGCTATAGTGTAGGACTCACGTATGCATAGCCGAGGGTCTGTGTCGTTGATGCGTGAGCTCTTCTGCATTTCTTCGAAAGGCGGCCTCTGTGCACTCGGAAAAATTTTTGCATGACTCTTGCGCGTGATAATGGCGTAATGTTTTCGAGGGGATGGAGTTAGCGTTGCTGTTGGAATCTTTTTTTGGTGCTTTGATGGGCTCTTTTTTTCACGACAAGACTACACTCCAATGAATAAGATTGCCCTGCAAGTGGCTTGATACTTCAAACGACATGACTGGGCCTAAAATCGCACGAAGTCATGCTTGAAGATGAGTACACTTGGGAAAAATTAAGACGACGTGGCTTCAATGTGACAACCTTGCCGGAGATTGTGATGGGAGAAACACTCATTTATCAATTACATGTTGTTCTTTCCCTAGATGTTGCTTCCGCACCTGAAGGAAGTCTTCGGCTCGTGTGACATTCCGGGAGCAAAAACGAGGAAATAGTAGCTACTCGCTTTATCTAAATCCCGTGAGTCATGTATGTCGACCTCTTTGTGGGTTATGAAGACAGCGTTGAAGGCGATGCAATGAGTTCCTTATGGACGTACGACGATGACTATGAAGGACCCACCTTACTTTCCGAGTGGTAGATCTTTTCTCTTCAGTGGTACAGAAGTCTCCGAATAAAGGTCCAAGTATAACTTATTGTGATTCATTAGCTCGAAGAATGAAAATGTTGTTCACATAGAGGAGGCCATATAGCCTTTCACCGGGCGACAGCCAACAAGAGCTGGAACTGACTATCGAAGAGCAGATTTTCATGCATTGCTTGTGACTAATGTTTGCTAGCGTTGAGACGGATAGAAAAGGCTGAGGGTCTTCGAATACGCCTCACTTTGTTTCAAGACTACTGGAACATGTGCGCTCAACTAACAATTTTTCAGCAGACCGTGCTGACTTCACTGTGACCGCCTTGTTTGCCTCCAGACTTTGTCGCACAAGCTGAAAGAGAAAATGATAGCAAACTTCGAGATGGGAATTCCAGTGCACGATACGGGCAACGCGTGGCGTTGATTATCAGCAAGGAGGAAATGTCCATCGAGAACTTCAAGGCTGTCGCTGAGTGTAAAAGTGCAAGCGAATTTGGGTGTTGCGTCTCAACGGGTAGCGAGTTCCGTATAGAAGAAGAGCTACCAGAATAAGTGCAATAATTATTCCATCGTCTCCTAGTAGACCACCATGTCGGTGATGGTCCGTGAATGTATGTATACGAAAAGCAATAAAAGAAGTCATTGATCAAAGATGTTCTCTATGGAATCGTCCACAGTGGCTCCATTTCTTCAGAAACATCACGGCATTATCAAGCGCAAGAGTTATGCACAAACGTTTTCCGGTGCATAGAGACCACTGTCGGAAAAATGCAAGAGAGCACCCGCATCAACGATCTCAACCCTCGACTGCGCATACGTGTGTGCCATGAAGTAATCGCTCGGCTACACTGCCACGTACGAGACAACCTATTTATTCGTATTGAGTGCGAGTACGCTGCTCTAGAAAAGTTCCGTAACTTTGTTCGGGGGATATGGAAGACGCTCACGTAATTCTATTGCGAAGATCCCTCAATTGGTCCACATCTCTTTTCTGATGGCCACTGATCTTCCATCCTTCCCTCGTAAGGAAGTCATCATGTGGGTTTTGTCCTCTAGGGTACACTCCGTTAAAAGTTTTGAGGGTGATGTCAACTTAACAGGAAGGCGGCTAGCGCCATTCGACTCAGTTTGTGAACAAACTGAATTTTTGCTCGAATTTGTTGATCTGCAGAAATCTAAGGGCAAAAAATGCGAGAAAGGCCGCTGCAAAGCTACACGATATGCAGTCAAGTATTCCGCCGAACAGTTTTTCGCTCATAACTTTCTTCTCATCCAAGCAGTTCGCCCCAAATCTGGTATGTATACTTACCATTATTCCTAATGAAAAGCAGTTTTCGATTATGGTGCACGGTCTGCAATTTTTTTTGCATGACGATTGAATTTACTGCCTACAGAGCTACAATACTATCCACGTTTTTCGAGTTTTAAAGTTCTACGACATAAGCTTTGGGGTCTCAAAACAAAATTCTGCTCCTTGCAGTGATGCGGAAGATGGGTGAAACCTCAGACACTGAAGGTCGTCATGAATAAGAAAAGGCGCCATGAATAGGAAAAATGTTGACATGAAGCTGGGCCTAATGTTAACGTTGTTCATGTTAGAGTATTCTGAAAGTTTCTGAACGTGCAGTGCCATCATGTTCACAACATTTGGACCAACTCAACGTTGACCGTTAGATCATGTCTGAGATGTATTCGCCAGAATGATTGCATCATCCACCGCTTACAGGCTGATTCCAAGCCAACTTGCGTCGACTTTGCCGCCAAGTTCAATAGCATAATGAGACAAATATCAGTCAATGGATTGACGGAACAACACTGACAAGGGAGCTGGTTCAGTGCGTGATGCGCTTTTTGAAAGTGGTTCAATATTATAGAGGCTCATCCAAGAACCTGAAAGAGAGATTCATTTTCGCTACACGCTTCTAGGCAAGACAAAATTAAAAGTGAAAAATATTCGTGAACTGCTCCCTGTTGAGCTTCTAAGCGCCGTATATCACTTGGATCTTTTACCAGTTGCCTTTTACCATCTTTACCTTTTCGCTGCACGACATTGGGCAAATATTTTTGGAAGAGTTTTTATTTTGTGATTTTCCTCAGTTCATGCGACACCCATTTGTCAAAATTCTTTAGCTCGCTTCCCGACTTTTTGAAAGGGGTTGGAAACGGTCGCTCCTGCTATACTGAGCTCAGGAAGCTCTCGCGTGATAGTTCGCGCATTGGCTTCCACCAATCGCCTTCGATTGACTATTGTCAATGGCAGACTCCCGACCACGACCTTCTTTTATCTTCGAGACTTTCATCTCCACTTCTCAAGTGCACTTCAATTGTAGCAACGTTCAACAGTGTGTTTGCTGTTGTGCTTTTGCCAAAGATACAGTTTTTAGCTGTTTTCTTCGCTTTTCGTCCCCTTTTGAACTGCTACGAGAGGGTGGCACTAGTTTAGGTTTCATCACTCTTTGAGTCTAAAATTTTTATTGCGTTCTTATGTTTCAAGAGGAAGAAAAAAACTTTTGAAGAAATAGTGCAAAGACATGCAATCAATGACATATAACTTTCCCACATGTTGACAATAAGTATGAGAAAAATGTGAATCAAAAATTTTGTTAACTTGAAACGCCATTTATTTCTTTGAAAGCCAACAACATTTCAAGTTCACTCTCATCTTTAGCATTTTCGTTTTTGTTAGTCCTTCAATTTTAGAATTGAGCTTCGGTCTGAAGGAGCCGCGAAGGATTCCTGGATCGATGTCGGTAACGTAGATAGTCACGTTCGAGCCACAACTCTCAAGGATCTTGCTCCTAATAAGAGGTTAGATATGAAGGATACATCATGGTCAAAACTCGTGCAATTCCCCGTGCTTGCATTGATCCGAGGTCGTTTGATCTGTCTTTTACTGGTTCTCAAAATTTTTTTTGGAAGGTTGGAGGGCAAGATGAATGAACAGTCTAGGGTGGTCTCTGCTTCACTCTGACCTTAATTTTACGAAATTTAGGTACCAATTCCGCGTCAAACTTCTCAAGGACGACAGTTCTGTGGTGCAAAGTCACGCAACTTCGTGGATGAGTGTCGATCTGCCAACTGATGATATACTTCCCGTGACGCCTCTCGTAAATTAAGAAACGCTTCAATCCAGTGATGGATCATGAAATTCTTCATGTGTTCCAACCTTCTCAAATTTCTATACATATCTCCGCTGCCTCTTGACTCGTTGGTTGTCAGATTCCTCGAACGGGTCTCAATATGTCTCCTTCTTTCCCTGGATAGAGACTCAAAGCTGCCCTTCTGCTTCTGTGGCGCTGTCGTGGAAAGGTCTACTACAAGCATGAATTTAGTTGAACACGGTGGCCAAATTTACGGTAACAGGCATGCAAGGCGCACAGTTCTTAGTCTAAGCCGTGAGGATTTCAAGGTGCAGGTTCGGAGTACTCATGTCGTTAACCCAATGCTTATTCTTCAATTTTGCCATGGAGGATGTCAGTTTTGAAATAGACAGCCCATTATTACACAGCCACTGGTTTTCGCCTCCAAGGTTTCCAACAGTGGGCAACACTTCGAGAAGTGTTCTCTCCTTTGTAGTTTTATGGCTTTCACATGATCATTTTAGATTGTTTTTTTGCCACCCTATAATATATGGCACTCAGTTATCTACTTGTTCCGCATTTTGAGATCACTTCTGCGTCACTAATTTCGGCTACCTCCGCGAAACTAATTTGGAGACATGATGCTGCAAGTCCCACTGCGAAAGCCCGAGATTTCATTGTGCATCTCAGCTCCCTTAACTCAGGAATTTCATCGGTATGCCGCTCTGCTTGAACTGTTTTTTTTTCTGGCTGCATGCTATTTCGTGGATTACGGAGTACCTAAATAACTTAGGACGCAGTTCATGTAGTTGTTTGCTCTTGACTATTCTAACGCCGCAGCATAGTTCAAAATTCGAGCAACTGAAGAATTGTGGCAGAAGAGTGATCATCAACCCGCCCATATTCTAATACATTGGGGCATCTCATTCAAAGAGGTGGAAGAAGTTATTCAAATAAAACCTCATTCAAAATGGTGAGAGCTTTCCCCTAAATGAAACAAGGAGAAAATTAGGAGTTATAAGAAACCAGTGATTTATTTTCTAGTCAAATTGGTTCCGCACTTATCAATGACCCATTCCCTTTGTTCAGGGAGCAGATAGACTCCCAGCACCTTTTTCATTTCAGCAAATGCGAGCAGAATGATGTTGATGTCAATTTCGGTCATCGGCAAGTTGTCGTAGTCAGTCTGCCACTGAGCGGTGCCTTCAGCTGGCCAGAGCAGTCCGAGTCGCATGGCTGTAAGTTTCGCGAATGAGCTGACTTGTCTCAGTATGTTTTTGTCGGAGCACTGGCCAGTAATGCAATCACTTGAGGCGTGGCATCATGACGAAAAATTCTGGCTCATTTCTAGTTGTATTCCATCCATTTGTCAGTTTGGTCGTCGAAAAACGTGCAAATCATCGGCAGCGCGGTTTCTTCCTTGGACAGAGCCGTATGAAAGACAGTGTAGGACTTCATTGTTATGATGTTCTTCTGCTTGAGCCTACCTAACTCTCAGACATACTTCGGGCGGCTTCTCTTTTGCTGAGTTGCTCGAGTTTCTTCTTCTGTTTGAGGCCACTTAGTCCACTCGTATTGCGTCAATGTCCAGGTTCCTTTTTTATGCTCGTTTATGACATTTTAGGCGGAGAATATGGTATGGCTTTATGTTTGTGCTTCTGTAAGAAAACGATGCACCTAACATAAACCATCCTGTCGTTTAATGGACTAGCGTCAGTCCATTAAACGACAGGATGGACCATAGAACCCCGGCACGGGCCCTTTTCTTTCTTGCCATTCCTCTATACGTTTCCACGTTTTTGAATGAGATGACCTACTGAATGCAGAGTCCTTACTAGCGTCAAGCGTAGGGGAATGATCGTCGCACCGAGAAGCACTGTGAAACAGGGAACGATGCTGTTATCACGCAAAGTGCAGTGGCTTACAGTATCACAGTGTCTTTAGAGAGATGTACTTCTGTCGAATGTTGTAGCGATGTGCATGGAGCGCGCAACTTTTGATCCGTTCCTCTTCGCATCAAAGAACAAAAAAAGCAACCACAGAAATGTTATTTAGCCTCTTCTCGTACATAAAGCTTCACTGTCCACTCCTCGCATACCTTGTACAGTTTATTTCCCTTAAGCTTTTTTTTGCAATTGGGTTTGTTATCTAGCATTGAGGGAAGCTACCGCCATCAAAATATCACCTAAAATTGCAACGCTAACTAGTTTCCAGTTTTTGTGGTTTGAATCTTCATGGCGGAAAACCAAGAAAGTAGCAGCGTCCACCAGCGACCACCAGCGACCGCCAGCGTCCACTAGCGACCAGGAGTACGGTATTGTGTAGTTTACGGTGCGGTTGCACACGCCACAATTTCACGACGCCTAATCCAGCTGTCTCCTCCCTCCTACTTCCCCATACTCTACCAGCTGTCTGCTACCCTCCTACCATTCTCTCTACTCCTGGTCGCTGGTAGACGGTAGATCGATATCCATTCTTTCGTAGTCCCTCGAGGCGCTGATGGTCGTTGGTGGACGCTATGCTGCTAAACACTACCACTCGCTGGATCGATATCTATGCTTTCCTAGTCTTTGGCGCTGACGGATGCTTGGAATGCTCATGGTCACTGTTGCACCGTGGTGGTTGCAGATTCCCAATAATCGCTGTATGCGAGCTTATATCGATTTTTGGAAAAAGCTAGCCTGGACATGTGTACCTTCGAACGAGAAGTTCAGTTAACGGGAAAATTACCACAGCTCTCAGCAGAGAAAGTCTTTGTGTTACGCAGCTCCACGGTTCTGTTCTTTCTGAACTCTGGCGACTAGGAAGCGCTCCAGATCATTTACGGGATGACGTCAAATATCATTTTTCTAGGTGATAGACAGTGCCACGAATGGGTGGTACTCAGAAGTTGCTTAGGTTGATGAGTAAGCTGGATGTGAGCACACTTTCCGACCCGAATTTCTCGGTTGCTATATTCGCGAATGTAGGCGCACGTTTCCATGAGCGAGAAAAATATTTGGCACTTTTGGGAAAACTTTACAAATGGCCTCGGCCATTTTTTGCACCTTCCCCGCCTTACAGCTGCCTCCCGCAGCAACGCATCAAAGTTTTTTTCCATGCCTAAAGGCAGCGTAACATGCCGCAAGGTGCCTCGCTGAACAACTACTGACTACGGAGAGGAAACTTCATCGAGATCCCACGGTGGTACCCTACTTCCTGGTAGTGCTCCATTTGCGTCGCAGAAACGCACACGACAACGCAAGCGAAATGTCCGATCATGGCGTCGCAGCAGCTGTTTTGAATTTTTTGCACGCTCTACCTTCCCGATTGATTTTCGAGCATTTTTTTTATCCAGGTTTATCACCCGAATAGCTTTCATCAGATTCATTCAGGGAAGGGAAAGTATGTATTGATAAAGTCACTGATAATCTAACTTATCTAACCTGAACGGCATGTCTTTTGATAAAATCATTGGTAATCAGGGATATGATACTAGCTGTTTATGAAACTGTTGGTAATTTTAAGACAAACCAGGAAACGCAGTTTTCTGTTCAAAATATTGGCGCCCTTCCCGAGCAAATATGCGGCTTACGGCCAAGAAAACGAGGTAATTGTTGAAATGCTGAAATGTTTCATATTCAGCATTTTTTTCTGCCGAAGAACGTCTCTAGCAATCTGTCACGTTTGATATATGATCTTACTCAAGGATACTTTTACACTGCATCTCTAGGACCTGGCACCACGCAACTATCAAAAACTGAGAGTTTTGGGGCTCTGAGAAATTACCGCTTCTTTGCTTCTTTCGCTGAAAATGTGGATTTCTGTCTTGATATCATTTACAATCAGTCTGTAGTAGGACGTTTCTTCATCTTGCTTTTTTAAGCGTAATCTTCGTGTAAACTATAACGAAACAATAGTCGAAGATCTGGAGAGTAACGAGACTTACTCTTTCACGGTGATGGCAGAAAATCACGCTGGAAGAAGTCCACCGAGCTCTATGGTGCTGCTGGATACTTCGAGTAAGTAGTACTTATACTGATTCTGTTAAATTGGAAAAAGTTTCTGCAACACTTCAGAGGATGATTCCAAATTAGATATTGCTCCAGCAGAACCTTCAAGCAAGAAAACTATCATAGGCTCATCGTCGGAAACTACCGAGGCTGACGGGTAAGCTGGCTATGGGTGTAGGTCCCAACCAAAATTCAGTGGTTTTCGATGGTCACATGCGTGCCCTGGCTGTCATAGAGTAGGGCAAAGTTTGGTCTCTCTGGGAGAACATCACAGAGAGGCCATTCACATAAGACTCGACCACTTTTTGAAGTCCATTAGATATGTTTATCGTCGAGGCAGAGGTGGGGTATTGGAAAGTGGTACACTTATCAGACGCGGAGTCGGGAGTCAAAACTCGGGTTGGCTCTAAATCAGGCCAACCAAGCCTTCTTTCCTCCGGGGACGGTAAATTGGTACCAGATTCGTCTGGGAGGATAAAACACTGACTTGTACATCGGCTGGCCACCGCAAGTCATTGTATAGGCCACATCGCATTCAATAAGCCACTACGATTCTGAATGGAAGTAGAATGCGTGCCGCATCCCACTAAGGGAATAATCAGTGTCGCTTCCACTAATTCTAGGGTTTCAAGTTGACCTCACAGAAAAACATTGCCTAGGAGGTCTCACTGAGTTCGTTTGTGAGCTTACAATCAGCTTATCGGCAAATACCTGCTCATGGAACGCTTTTATGAACCCTCAGTTGAGGGGAGAGATACGAAACCATCGGTTGCGCATGCAGTCGCTTCTCTCCGTAAAAAGGAGGAGGGTGCCATGCGTATTCACCAGGTCGAAGATCCAGGCTCCCAAGCGCTCAAATCCCGTCCTTCGTGTTCCTTGGCTATACACTTCACACCTTTTGAGCTGCTGCTGTAGTAGCTCATTCAAGCGGAGTAACTTGGGATTGCCCATTTCCGTCACGCTGACGTGTGGCTGCAACGCCCCAAAACTCAGCGATGATCGAGCCAACAAATGAACCTGAGCATACCATCTAAGTGCGTGAAG